AATAAAATTGTGTAGGTGCCAAAAAAACTTTTAAAAGCAGCGACTCTTCCGTCAAAAATTATGTTTTATCTTTAGCGCTTTAAAAAAATTACATTGTTTAAATCCTACCATTTCAAACATCTCTGTACCTTTCCTGTGCCTTATAATGGTTATAAACAACTATCGTGTTTCCCCAAAAATAAGGCAGGGTCTTATATTAATTTTTGCTCCAAAAAACACATTAGGGCTTATTTTCAGGGGACGCTTTATTTTTTTCATGTACAACAATCTACATTTATTCAAATACAGTCATGTCATCTTCTGGTTGCTGCACAATGGTGGAGGGTGGGTTTTCACTTAACTGGGGCTTATTTTTGGGGTAGGGCTTATTTTCAGGTTAGGTTAGGTCTTATATTCGGGGAAATGGTTTAACAACTTTCCTGGTTTTTTTGTTTTTTTGTTTTTTGTTTTGCTCATTGGTTGGGCACCTAAAAGGCCACAGAGGGGCATCAAAATCAACTCCGTACATCTTTCATTTTATAATATATAATTATCTTAGAACTGCAGAGCTGGAATGGATTTTAGTCAGGCACTTCTGTTATGCTTGCTTTTTATCTTAATTCTGTACAAAGGAAGTTGTTTGCTATTGAATATTACAAGTTCAGCTATGAGACGTTCCAGTGTTTGTCATGTCTAGTGTTCCAACCCAATGCATGAGAATATTGTTTATCCCTTCAGTTTACAGAGCCTCTGTGTGAAGTAGAAGCACTTATGGAAAAAATGAAACAACTACAAGAATGCAGAGATGAAGTTAAAGCAAGCCAAGAAGAAAAGGCTACTCGATTTGAGAAAGAGAAGAGAGAAAGCATGTTGGTGGGTTGTTCAGGTCAGACAAAAATTTAGGTCAGCTTACATTAAAAAACAATAACACGTCTCATCTTGTGACATATTTTGTAGATTAAACTGAAAGACTTTATCTTTAATATGCAAAATTTAAATACTCCAAAGCTTTTAACAGTTCCAGCTCAAAGGTTTTCAGTAATATAAGTAACGAAACACTGCATTAATAATCACTGATCTCTTCATAATGCAAAATCCAAATACCAAATCAGTCACAGTTTTTTCTCTCTGTGATTATATAAAAATGTGCACTGATGGAAAGAGGGTGTGCTCATGTATTCCAACCATTGCATCCACTATTTAATTAAGTTTACTTTTTCTTATCTGCTGTCAGCCTACTCCAGGATCAGCAGCAGAACTGTTTATTTTGCCAGCCAAAGGAGAACTGTTGTTGTAGGGCAGTGGTTCCCAGTTTTGGGTCCCCATATGTCCTTGGACTAAAACTCCCAGAAGCCCTCATCACTAGCTGTGCTCATGTCAGGATTTCTCGGATTTGTAGTCCAGGACTCAAGGTTGGGAAGTGCTGCTCTAGGAGCAGAATTATATGGTGAAGTAAGGTATTTCCAAGCCTCCCCCCCAGCTGAACTTGACTTTAAAAGGTTACTCCTGATTTTGGAAGTAAAAAGTTTGGTTTGAAATCATACAAGATAATCATACTATTTGATGGACTGCATCCCATAGCAGTCTTCATGAGGCAAAATTGGCTGCTGGACCTTGAAACTTGCCCTTTTCTGGTCTAGAAAATGTAGTGCCCTTCATTTTCAAGACCAGGAAACTTTTGTAGTTCCCTTTCAGTAGGCAAAGATTTGCACACTGGGATTCTAGTGTAGTACTGGGTAGCCTGTAGCCAGTACTGGGTTAAATGTGATCCAAAACCTGCTCAAAAGCAGGAAGATACGTAATGATAGTATTTCATAATTTAAGGCATGTAATATAAAATGCTTAGAACAAGGAGAAGAGCAAATCTGTAGTATCACTGTGTTTTCTCGTGTCTGAATATGGTTTCCTAAGGCGTGACATGGCATTCATGTGTGTTTGTGCATATTTTCTTAGAGAAACAATACTTACATGAGTTACAGTTGGCCATTAAAGATACCTTGGTTCTACATGGCTCTGTGGGCCAAACTGCCACCTCTGTCCTATTTAGAAACAATGATTACAGAAGGCTAAAAGACAGTTTTTCAATGCTGTATTTTTAAAAATACGTCCAAGGAATTATCCATTAAGGAAAAAAAAAACTTATTTCTGCCTGTAGAATGTTTCTTCCATGTTAATTACATACTGTGTCTGTCACAAGTTAGCAATTTGCTTGTGACCATTCCATATTTTTCAAATTAAATTCTGGTTTTTGTTTCTATTTGTAACAGAGGATGAAGAATCAGCACCATCAAGAGATGTGTCACGCCATTTTGAAGATACTAGCTATGGTTATAAAGATTTCTCCCGGCATGGAATGCATGTGCCTACCTTCCATGTTCAGGTAATTCCTTTGTTGCAAGCAGCAAGACATGAGCAATTGACTCCACATAGGTTTCATTTACTGCATTTAGAGGCTATGCTATTTTGGTAGGAATATTAGAAAATATCTAAATAAACCATTAAAATCAGTTTTCACATTCAGTTTAAAATACTGTATTAGCATGGCATCTTCCTTGAAAACTTGGCAGTCATTTGGCTATTTTGTTTTTAAGGACTACTCATGGGAAGACCATGGTTATTCACTGGTAAATCGACTGTACCCAGATGTTGGACAGCTAATAGATGCGAAGTTTCAGATTGCTTACAACCTAACCTACAACACAATGGCCATGCATAAAGATGTTGATACCTCAATGCTTAGACGGGCAATCTGGAATTATATCCATTGTATGTTTGGAATAAGGTTGGTCATTTTACACAATTTCTGCATAAGGTCAACATCAGTTAGGATTGTACACTTATTACATTTAATAAGTATTGGAAATGTAACAAACTGTGCACATAACACTTGTTACAAATGCAGCTTACTGGATTCAGTCTATATTGCATCAACATTTGATCTTTTAAACTATAGAAAGCAATAATACATAAGAATTAGGCAGGAAACATAGGACTGTAGTTGCCTTTAGTAACCTCCATCAGAATTTTACATATTTGCCTTGTTCTGGAGAGCAAGTACAGTGGTGCCCCGCTTGACTAGTTTATTGCGATCACTATTGCAATCTCAAAATGATGATTGAATGGGTTTTTTTCGTTTGACAATGATCGGTTCCCTGCTTCGGGAACTGATTTTTTCCTTAACGATGATCAAAACAGCTGATTGTCAGGTTTTCAAAATGGCCGCCTGCTGTGCAAAATGGCTCCCTGCTGTGTTTTAGGACAGATTCCTTGCATTACAGGCACCAGAAAATGGCCGGCCTATGAAGGATCTTTGCTGGATGCTGAGGTATTTCGCCCATTGGAACGCATTAACTGGGGTTTAATGCATTTCAGTGGGCTTTTTACTTTCGCTTGACGACGATTTTGTTCTCCAGCGATTTTGCTGGAATGGATTATCCTCGTCAAGCGAGGCACCACTGTAGTTTGAGAGAAGTGCCTTTTGATCTTGAAAAGCCAACCACTTAATGTAACAAAATAAAATGCAACCTTGTCCCAGGTTTGGAGAAATTACTAAACTGAAGTTGAAAAACTGAAGTAGTGGAATAGAAAAGTTAATTGAAAAATACAGCATTCCAGAAGCACAATGGTACCTCAGTAAAACTGCCTGGTACAGAAAAAGGAATGTAGGTCTGTGGGGAGTACGGAATAGCACTGAAAAAGGAAACCCACTATATGTTCAATTTAGGATTAGTTGTTCTGAAAGTTATTGTCATTTAACTGTGGTTGGGGCTTGAGGTGAATTGGTTCAAGATCCATCAGAAGTTGTTTTCCTGCCGGGCACTGAATGAAATTAACCACACAGTAATGAATAAAACGTTTCCTTTAGTAAGAATGAAAGTTGTGGTTGTACAAAAGTGAATGTGTTTCTCCCTTGGTTCCAAACAGGTATGATGATTATGACTATGGTGAAATTAACCAGCTACTGGACCGCAGCTTTAAGATTTATATCAAAACTGTGGTGTGTGCACCTGAAAGGACCACAAATAGAATGTACGATAGCTTCTGGAGACAGTTCAAACACTCTGAGAAGGTGAATTCTGAATGCATGCAATCGGACTTACCAAACCAAACAGTTCACTGCTTGATGAACTATAGCGAAGTCCCCAAACACTTGTTTAAACCATGGCATTCTCAATAATCTCATATGTAAAAAAAAATTTTATGTGGTTTCTTCAATGAGCAGTATTTTTTTAAACATTAACTTAGCATGATAAAATGAAGATAAGCTCATTTTCTTCGTTGTATTAACTGAAAACATCATTACCGAAAGTCAGTGCCCGCATGACTCTTGGATGAGGGAGCAGGGCTACATTGTATCTTCAGTTCCTATTGCAGACGACTTCTCATAGTGTGAATATACTGGACAGTATTATCACTATGCATTTTGATAGGAGGATTTTCATGGTTTACTATTGTTATTTCAAACTCATTTTAAAAGAGAAAGTTAAGCCCTGTCTGCTAAAAAGAGCTATATCCTTACAGGTATCACTACACTTACAAGCAAGAACTACTGCTATCAGATGGTTGCAGATCCAGAACCAACCAGTTCTTAAGAAATAGCTACCACCAAGCAATTGCTGGTGGTAGACTCACAGCCCAATCAGGTGCTAAACTGTGAGAACCATGTATGCAGTTTGTTCATTATGCCCTGTTCCATGGAGGCAGCCAAATACAGACTTGGCTCCTCCACAGATCCCTGCCTGGTCAAGAACTCAGCAGCAACTCTGTACAAGTTGTGGGGGTAGTCCATTATAGGAACTAGCTCGCTGCCGAAGTATTACATGCAGAAAATTTGTATGCTTTAAAGCAGGTATTTGAACTCAGCTGCGTTTTTCTTTTCCCCCCAAAGGTTCATGTCAATTTGCTTCTCATAGAAGCACGGATGCAGGCTGAACTGCTTTATGCTCTGAGAGCAATTACTCGCTACATGACCTGAAATCTTTGGCTAATGATGATGAAGATGCAGGAGGTGCTGCCTGTGAGGAGATAGAAATGAGCTTCAGAACCAGTGGTTGCCAAGTGCTATGAGATCCATTGTGCCATAACTCTTTTCTGTTTCAGTTCCTTCCCCAAGGAGATGTCACTACTGTTGCAGAGCTGTTGTAGGAGAAAGAGATGTTCAAAGATTCTCCCTGATCACTACAGCTGCTCCTGTTAGCATGAGAAACCATGATTTGTGGCAGACAAGTAGTTAATTATGCAAATCTTGTATTGTTGCAAGTAGTAAACAGAATCTGGAGCACAAAGAATTGAATAAAACATCTGCCTTTGATACAAGTGATTTTCTTAAAGAAAAGCCCTAATGCTGCTGTATTTGCTGGTGTAATGAAGATGTTAGTAATTCCAATTAAGCTTTGAGTGAAAGCAAGCAGTGCTGTTATCTGAGCCTACCTTTAATGTGTATTAAAGAAAGTCCTTGCAAGTCATTAGAAACTGAATTGTACATCACACTAATAGTTTTGATTGCAACAGAAACTTCTTGCTGTTATTTAGTTGTGTGCTACTGGCCTCAACTTGTTCACAGCTGTGTGGTTAAATCAACAGAGTGAGGAGGAGTGAGAGTTTTCAAAGCTGCTTAAGAAAGACTGCAACTATGTGAAATGCTAAATACTTGAGACCAGTGTCCTGTTTCTCCTCCCATTGTTCTTAAGAACTAGCTAAGGTGTGGGAATATTAATTTGGACCGTCAAGTAGCTTCTCACTGCACTGCTTATTTGTAGCCATGACTTGTCATTTAGCAATGGCTTGTGTAGCTAAACAGGAAATATTAAAACAAGTTTGGTATACATCTGTTCTTTGAAAATATATGGAAGCTTTTCACTGAGCATGAACTGCTCTGAAATCAGTATTACTGAATTTTTTAAATAAAACATTTTCTCTCTTGTACATTGGTATTTTTTTCAGGCACTAATATCAGCTACTGTAAAACCTAACAACAGTTGAGTATCCCCCAGCTGCTGTGTATTTGTGATTTGCATTTGAGAGGAGAGAACAAAAAGCTAAGCTGCAACCTCAACAGTTTAACAGGAAGCATCTGCCGTTTCCTCTAGTCAAAAGTACAAAATTTATGCTAAATCCACAGTTCATACACCAAATGTTCACATTTCAAATTGGTTTTGCTTAAAGTATTCCTTCCAATAGTTGCTATTTGAATTTCATTTATGAAGTCTAGTAACTTTACAAACCTTGTTCACCTGCCAGCCATGGAGCTGATTCTTATATCCTAAGAAAGCTGGTGCCATCTAACAGGTGGAGTTTCACAGAATGCACATAAACAAAGAATACTTATTTCAATATTTGAGTCATTTTTTGAAATTGTCAGTAGAACCAGGGGTTATATGTAAGCCATAGATTCTAAATCAAATGCTGGATTTATCAGTGCATTACATCCTTACTGATCTTCTTGTAAAGAGATGCCATTTAACTGGAAATTGTTTTAAAGTCCCCTTCTTATGCTAGAAATTGTATCAAACGAAAAATCTGTTTTCCCGCCTGTGTTTAAATGACTAACATTTTATGAATTTCCCTTATCTGACTCCTCATTCTTTTTCCATGAACATCAATATCACCGGCACAATTACGGTGAAACAACAGCAGACTCAAAAGCAAAAAACAAACAGCAGCAACAAAACAGCTTTAGAAAGATTGGTTCTTGTGCCTGCTTCAGAGCTGAATCATTACAGAAAAATTATAGTAATTAGTTTCCCAATTAAAGCTACATCTTAATCACATGATCTAATCAACACATGCTCAGAGTTCCAAGTAGGAACAACAGTCAATCCTTACCCATCATTTAGTTATCACTATCCAAAATCGCACATCTTCTATGCAATAAAGTGAGGACAGATTTTTATTAAGTTTATCAGAAAGGTACTTAGTCCAGATGTGGTAGCTGGTTTATAAAGTAGAATCTATATACAAAATAGTCATTTTTCTTTGGATACAGCATGTTCCAAGTAGTGGGAAACAGTTTGCATAAACAGCAACTGAAGTATCCTTTATACCAAAATCCTCAACGCCCACCATAAAATGCAGTAATTAGTTAAGGGCTCAAAATTCAGCTTTGTATTTTCTGGAGAAGCTTCTGTGCCACAGGTTTGAACTCTGTTTCCCAATATATTTTGTGATAAATTCTTAAATCGCTGTCCAAACTGTAATCCAATGCCATTTCTTCATCTGCAGTGAGGGACAAGGTCCAAAACAGTCAATATTGAAAAACTACAAACCAAACCATTTCAAAATCATTTATATATGTACACTATATTGATCCTTATTGGTTGTGAGCATCTTCCACCACAGCACTCTGTTCTAGCATATGGAAGTAAACCTTAGGAGAAACTGCCAAATTTTGTCGTGGAAGCAGTCAGTGTTGTTGCTGGGCTGTGATCTCTTACCTAAAAGTTTCTCGTAGCTCCTGTACAAGCATCTGAACTAAGTCCTAAATTCACTCTATATGTTTACAGTCTGCATATAATTTAAACTAATATGAGTTACAGCAGGATGTGAAACTGGAGCAGCCCATAAGCCCATTGATTTCTCACATATTTGGACTATCAGTGGCTTATGCAGTCAGTTGTAAAATATGCATTCAGCTGCATTTACAGAAAGTGTAAGATGTCTAGCTGAGATCCCAAAGGGGGGGATATGGAAAATCAAAAAACGTGGTAAGTATTACATGGAGTAACAATACAAGTTTGGTAACTCCGACTTTGCACAGAGCTTTATCATCTGACTACTGGGCTGTCTTCAGTTCTTAAGGTGACTTTGGTGGAAACATCTGCCTTTGCTGTTGCACAAGTTTGTTTTAAGAAATTCTAGTAACTAGTTTACTTTACAGACACTGTCTGAACTGCCAGTAGTGAGAATGGTACAGAAGTCATAAGAAAGTAGGTACTGTCTGCTGAATTGTCACTTAGTGACACCTGCACTTTTGGCACCAGCAATAAAATCTACAGTTGGTGGCTTTGAGGAGTTTGGTATGCTAGATTCCCTACTGGTTTGCCTACTGCATCAAGCAAGGCAGGAAAAAAAAGCCTGACAGCCTTCCCACCAAACAATTTTTTGCCTGCTGAAAGCATCAATTTCAATAAGTAACTCTTAAGTTTCAATATTATGTGGGGAAAAAAGAAAAAGTTCTCTCTTGTGCAACTGAATTCACAATTTTCTTAGTTTCCCTTTTGTAGTCTCCCCCCTCCCCAACAAATTAAAATCACAAACATCTTAGGTTTTCTTCACAGGGAAGATGCTTCAGTTTCCCTGTAATTTCACTCACCCTGTTCTAAGCCCACTGCAAAATATTTAAGGAGGGGAAGTGGACACAACCATAAACAATATTTCAAATGTGGCTGGCAATCTTCTCTGTAGAGGTTTATTTACAAAGAGAAGAGAGGAAATTGTGGAAATAATGTAGAATACATGTATGGAGGCTTGCAACTTGGCTCTGCATGAATACCTGCAGCCTTCTCCAAGGAAGGGACCTTCACTTAGTGATACAGAACATGCAGTACACACAAAAGGCTGAGATTCAATCCTTAGCACTTTGTGTGCCTGTTTTTTTTTAAAGGACTGTGTAGCAAATGATATGAAAAAGTTAAATTCTATAGAGGGAATAGTAATTAAAGACAACAATACTAGACTGCTTGAACAAATTGATGCTCCTTATATTTCTTCCATTCATTTTAAAAAGTACAGTGAGATTAACTTTTAAGCTTACCTAAAAATGATGCAAGGAGATCAAGTAGGGCATTTGAATCATCTTCTTCAAAGCAGGTCTCAGCAATACTAAAACTCTCACTATAGTTCCACAAAGTCTTGCATATTAAACAAGCCAGCTGCCAGTCTGTAGGACCAAAGTCTCTCAAACAATCAATTAACCTGTTAAAATAATTGGCAAAAAGAGTTAACTGTTCCTATGTTTGTCTTTTTGCAGCTTATCACTAAAACCAAGCAAATCTGGCTTTTTTTGCCCTTTTAAGAAAATAGGGGAGACAATGTTTTACATTTATCCTTTTCCTCTCAGGAACTTTGGAAATAATCAGCCAAATCTATATACATGGTTTTCTTCAACTCACTTTTTAATTCCTCCTTCTTCATTCAGTATAATACGCCTGGTTTTATCCACAGTAAGGTTGAGGAGAACTCCACAGGCCGAAAAGCAGACATCTTGGTGTTTGGCATCGAGCAAAGCAATCATGAACTTGTATACTACATTGCATAATGAGAAGCAGCTATTTTAGAAAACAACTCTGCTTTAAAAACCACTATACAGAATTCAGTGGATAAAACACATGGAAAGTTCAAGCATATATAATTTAGAATAAATAGCTGATACAAGCTTTGAACACTACTCTGTTACTCTTAAAGGTTTACTGTTCGGTAACATGCTGCAACAACTGAGATACTTTGCAGTTTCTTTACTATAACTAGTTTACTAACAGATCAGTCATTACCTTTATTAAGCTAACAGTTTTCTATTAACTACAGTGGTGCCTCGCTAGATGATCTTAATGTGTTCCATTGAAATCACTGTCTTGTGAAAACATTGTCTAGCGAAAAGCGTTTCCCCACTGGAATGCATTGAAACCCGTTTAATGCGTTCCAATGTGGGGAAATAGTCGTCGTCCAGCGAAAATCGCCCATAGGGAAGCCATTTTGCGAAGCGCCGATCAGCTGTTTAAATCTCTGTCTTGCAAAGCATCAGTCCCGAAAACACCCGTTTTGCAAAGATCGCCCATAGGGAAGCCATTTTGCGAAGCCACCAATCAGCTGTGAAAATTGTCGGCTTGCAAAAAAAAGTCTGTGAAGCACGGACCAAATCATTGTCCAGCGAAATCCCCCATAGGAAAAACCATTTGGTGAATCGCTATAGCGATTGCAAAAAGTCAACGTCTAGCGAAAAACCCGTTTTGCGGGGTAATCATCTTGAGATACCACTGTACATATCTGTCAGTTTAATGAGCTAGAAATGTCATTAAAACTCCCACTATTACTGTGATTTCTGCCATTAAAAAAATTCACAGTGGTCACAGCCAGGAAAATTTGTCATAGCAACTCCGGCCAAGATCACCTGTCCTGCAAAAAGCTGCCAGGCAAAGGTGGGGAAAGTGGGTAAGATGTCAGTTAGGAATCAAAGGTCCATCAGTACACTATGTTAGATTAAAATTATTCTTAAAACAGTACACTGTATACTTTCATCTGGCATCCTTGCTGGGTGATTGCAGAGCCTCTGAATCCAAATGAGAAGCCAACACTTTGTAGTTGTATGGATACTTTTAATGTACATAGCCTGATCACCTCCAGTGGGAGTAGGAACTTACCCTGTCGCTGTATAATGAAGTCACAGACTTCACGGTACTGAGAAAGATTACCAAAGACTCGAATAGCCTCCAGAATTCCATCCATATTGCTGCTTAGTAACAACTTTAGAAGCACTATGGTTCAAGAGAAGAGCAGAAAATATTTATTTACTGTATTTCAGTATATGTTTTAATGAAGAAAAGAGACAACTAGAAAACAGCAAATGCTTCAGATAAAGATGTGGTAAAAGGAGAAATTGCATTGGGGAGCAGTTTGGTATTTTCTACTTAAGACCATGACAGATAAGCTAGTAAAAACAGTTAAGCAATGGATCTAACAGCTTTGTATTTTGTATTATCCTAGCTACAAACTGAGCTAAGAAAAATGAGATGAATTAAAAGAATCATTGTTTTGTGCTACGAGATCGAAGTGTTTTTGTACCACTGGTGAGACTACGTGAAGAAATCAAAATTACAGTGGTGCCTCGCTTAACGAGCACCCCATTTAACGATGAAATCGCATAGCGATTAACTTTGCAATGTTCCCTATAGGGAAAAATCGCTTTGCGATGATCGGTACCCTGTTTCGCTTACCGATCATCGCAAAGCAATGATTTTTTAAACAGGTGATTGGCAGTTCCAAAATGGCTGCCGGGTTAAAAAAATGGCCACCCGCTGTTTTCTGGGACGGATTCCTCGCTTACCGGGCAGCGAAAATGGCCGCTGTATGGAGGATTTTCGCTTAAAGGTGAGTCTGAAGCCCATAGGAACACATTGAAGGGGTTTCAATTAATTCCTATGGGCTTTTTAATATCACATAGCGACAAAATCGCTTTGCAGCAATTTTTGCTGCACCAATTATCATCGCTATGTGAGGCACCACTGTATTTGTAAGCAAACGGGACAGCAATTTTGAGAGGAACTGTTCGAAACAAAACATCTGCCTCGAGACTTTAGAGCATAGCAAGTTTTTGATTTGTGGCTATTAAGGTATATACATCTGGGACATGCTCATAAGCCACAACAAATGATCATATAATCTTTCCTGCCACCACAATTTCTTATATTTTTTTTTCTGCTCTTAATTACAGAGGCAGGACAAATCACAAGACATACATTTAATATACTGCTACTTAATAATAATAATAATATTAATAATGTTTATTCATATTGCGCTCTATACCAGAGCACATTCTTGCTATATCTTTACCTTTCCTCTCCATTTTTCTAACCCTTCTATAATTTTCTCTTCTAAAATGTGTCCCATGATCGCACTCTTTCTTGACTTCTGGCTATTATATTCCTTGCCATTATGCCTCCTCTCCACATTTCTTTGTCCATTCTAGCTCCTTGCCTATGGGGTTGAGAAATGCTAAGCAGATAGTAACATATAATTTCTACAGCAAATTCTTAATTTAAGGCAATTTGCCTCCGAAAGTTGTATCATTTCCATTATGCCAGTGTAACTAGGCAAGAGGATTTAGCCCAATATGTGATGAGGAATCTGTTGCTAAAGATCTGTCACCTAATGCTTTTATAACTTATCATTTTAGCTTTCTCTGTAATACTGCTTTTCATATAGAGAGTGAAAGAGCACCTTTCAATTTGCATTTATTCCATTCAGCCTTGTTTAGCCTGAGCCAAGGTACAACTACAAAAGGCATATGGAAGCAAAGGCATGGACTACAACCTCCAGAATCCCCCAACTAGCATGGCAATGATAAGGTGATTCTGGAAAATGTGTTTTTAAAAGTAACTTTGGAAACTGCTCTGAAAAGAATTCAACTTGCTGTTCCAGAGACCAAGAGAGCTTATTTTTTTTACTTATTTTCAGTTAATCAGCAAAGGCAGTTACCACAGTGAGAACACCAATGGGATTCATTTTATCAACCATTATAGAATAACCTAAACAAATGAGATAGAAATCTCGTTAATGTCAATGTCATTTCTCATCTAATAATAATAATTATGTGCAAACAATTTGTTGCTTTATAGTCATAAGAAATACTGGCCTTGATTATACAATAGAAAGATGACAGAAGGATTGATTTTTAAAATCCTTACATTCTGCAATATATAGTTTCTTCTCCTGTATTATAGAATTCTTCACATGGTAGAAAGATAAATTGTTGATTGTTGCTGTGGTATTAATAACCAGCTCCTCAGATTCGCCAACTGACTTGTATTCTGGTGAGTTAGAGAGAGAGAAAAAGAGGAGACCTAAGTCTTTTGTCAGGACACTATTAATTTATAAAGTTTAACCCAACTACAGAGATTATTATACCACAGTACATTCCAAACACTACATAAAAGAAAGACACAGAATCAAAATGTACTGTATTAACAAAGAACTGGCAATATTTCTAATTTTAACTATGTTCCTGCTTTGGACCACTCCCAAACTCTACCTAGGTGTGTCCATGTGTCTCCTTGTTCAAACAAGTCCTGAACACTTGAGTTGTGAAAATGATGGGGGGTGGGGGATGTCTTCTAGATATGTCAATACCATTTCTTATTTATAAACATGGATCATTTGATTTTATCTGTCAGTCCAAATAGGCTCCCAAATTTACATACATTAAAACTAAGAACAACATTGCAGAATGTTAACAGACTGAATACATACCAGGAAGTCTTAGTTTATATCTCACAATGAACCCACTATGTGATCTTAGGCAAATTTCCTTCAGCTCTAGAAAGAGGATTTGGAGAGCTACAGTTCAAAATAAGTACTTCTGCCAAGCTCTTTAAATCATGGGAAACGTTCTGGATGCTTGGATGTTAAGAATCCCTATTATTATTATTACAAAGGTGTACTGAACAGCAGGTGGCACTGAAACATCTAAAGGAGGCACGGTTTTCATCACCTCTTATTCTAGAGGTGATGAGCATAGATGAGATTGCTTAGCTACCAGCTGAAGTGCCTTTGCTTCTAGGAGTACAAGCTGGAGCTAGCAATAATGTCTAGAGTAATTGAGTTCATCGTCTAGGAAAAAAAAACAGATGCTGAACTTCCGGTAAGGAATAACAGGGAGGCAAGTATAATGAGCTTTTGTTTAATGGAGGTGGGGAAAGAGGAGCTGCGAGTACATAGCAGTTGGGAGAACAGCAGATGCGCTTGCTGTCAAAGATGATGATGCATGACACTGAACAGAGTGTGGAGGGGAGAGACAGACTATTAGGAGAATCACAGATATGTTGCTCTTTCATCTTGCATGTGTTAATATTAGCCTAATTATTTTAGCACTTTAGCGGGACTTAATTTAAAATATTTCACTATAAAAATGCAAATGACATCTACAGATGATACAACAGAAAGCAGTTCTTCTTACCTAGTACTGTAATAAGTAATGCCACAATCTGATGGTTAGTTGCTAGGCTTACACCTATAGTCGGATGAATGGACAAATTGGCAATCACTCGTATAAGTTTGATGAGGACATCTTCTGCTTCAGAAGGATGCTTCAGATTTTTAAATTCACCGTCATCTTTCAACAGCTTACTATTACAGTCAATTTCCCAATGAGACTGGAATAGCATTATCAGGGTGTTAATGCTGTCTTGTATCTCAAAAAATTGTTCTCGAGCCTGATTGTTCTTCGCTGTTAAATTGCCAAGAATGAAAATGATACGAACAACTAAATCCTAGAATCAAAAACAACAACAACAATCCTGCTGGAAGTTATGGTAGATAAGATTTGGGAGAAAAAAAATCTTTATTTTAAAAGTACAGTGGTGCCTCACACAACGATGTTAATTGGTTCCAAAAAAATCAACGTTGTGTGAAACATCGTTCTGTGAAACACCATTTCCCATAGGAATGAATTGAAAACCAGTTAATCCGTTCCAATTGGAACAGATTGCCGTCTTTAAGTGAAAAAACCCATAGGAAACATCGCTGTGTGAAACAATGTTTCCTCCATTGGAATGTATTGAACTTTCCGTCCAATGCATTCCAATGAGAGAAAATTTTAAAAATCACTAAAAATTAAGGACGACTCAGAACAACATCAAATTAAGTTTGCATAGGTTCAGGAGGTGGGCTAACGATTGCAAGCATTTAAAACCTGTTCCAAACATTGTAAGACCCTTAAAAATGAGCGAAAACAGAAGAGCTTCAAAAGCACTGAAGCCGGCTTCAGTGCTTTTGAAGTCTTTTCCGATGTCCCTTTTCGCTCATTTTTAAGTGTCTTACAATGCTTGGAACAGGTTTTAAATGCTTGCAATCATTAGCCCACCTCCTGAACCCTATGCAAACTTAATTTGATGTTGTTCTGAGTCGTCCTTAATTTTTGGTGATTTTTTGAATTATTCTCTCATTGGAATGTATTGAACTTTCCGTCCAATGCATTCCAATGAGAGAAAATTTTAAAAATCACTAAAAATTAAGGACGACTCAGAACAACATCAAATTAAGTTTGCATAGGTTCAGGAGGTGGGCTAACGATTGCAAGCATTTAAAACCTGTTCCAAACATTGTAAGACCCTTAAAAATGAGCGAAAACAGAAGAGCTTCAAAAGCACTGAAGCCGGCTTCAGTGCTTTTGAAGTCTTTTCCGATGTCCCTTTTCGCTCATTTTTAAGTGTCTTACAATGCTTGGAACAGGTTTTAAATGCTTGCAATCATTAGCCCACCTCCTGAACCCTATGCAAACTTAATTTGATGTTGTTCTGAGTCGTCCTTAATTTTTGGTGATTTTTTGAATTATTCTCTCATTGGAATGTATTGAACTTTCCGTCCAATGCATTCCAATGAGAGAATAATTCAAAAAATCACCAAAAATTAAGGACTCAGAACAACATCAAATAAAGTTTGCATAAGCTTCAGGAGGTGGGATAACAATTGCAAGCATTTAAAACCTGTTCCAAACATTGTAAGACACTTAAAAATGAGTGAAAAGGGACATCGGAAAAGACTTCAAAAAATCACTAAAAATTAAGGACGACTCAGAACAACACCAAATTAAGTTTGCATAGGGTTCA